GCTGCGCTGCGGCTGCCTCTGTTGGCGCCGGCCCTCGTGGGCTCCTTCCCTCCGTCCCTCCCGCTTGTCTGGCGCTCCTCCAGGATGTCCTTGTCTGCAGCCTCTCCTTCCGGGACGAGCGCTCTCAGTTTCTGCCACCTCACTGTGTGTGTTACTCCTGGAGGGAGGCATTTTTACTGGGGATGGAGTGGTCTGACGCTGATTTTCTCTTGTTGCACCAAAGCTGCAATTTCGTGTTTTTTTGGCTTCTAGTGTTGCTTCCAACAAGTCAGCGGGCGGCCTGGCCGCGTCTTTCTGAGGGTGGTTTGTCTCTCCCCCTAAGTTGCCGCGTCGCTGGGCGTTTTCCCGTCTGCAGCCTCCTTTCCCTGCATGTGCGACTCCTTTGCTTGTTGCTTCACGGCTGCAGGTGTGGACCCCGCAGGCGGGAGGTAGGGGCAGGAACTGCTATGACGCGGTCGGAGTGGCACAGCCTGCCAGCCCCGAAAGAAATACAGGCCTTTTCGGTGACAAACGGCTGTGCCCATGGGTGATAGTATTAAGTTCACCTAAGACTTGAAGGTGCTCTGGAAATTTATAGGTCAGCGAGCCTTGTGTTAGTGCAAGGCAGAGACGTTGTGTGGCCTCCACAAACTTTATTGACACAGAAAATTCCAGGAGACCAGAAACACTTAAGTAAAGATGTGTGGTGAGTGGAATTTGATTAAATGCAAACACTTCTGAGTCACTGTGGAGTCACCTCCAGCTGTGATTGAAGCCGTAGCAGCAGCATCAAAAGACAGGAAACGGCCTGGCCTCGGCGCGGTCGGTGGGAGCACCGCCCCCTGTGCCGCCCGGTGGCGTCTGCTCTGCGCCTGGGCGCGCGGGAGGTTCCCCGGGGGATGTTTCTCTCTCTTCTCTCTCTCTCCCTGTCGCCCTTCCTTCTCTCCCTCCCTTTCTTTCTAAGATCAATAAACACATCCTCGGGTGAGGATTTAAAAGACGACGACAGCGTGATGCCCCGCACGGCAGCTCAGGGCCTTGCCCTGGTTCCCTGAGTCGGGGCATTAGAGGCCTCGCGTTCGGGGGGCCTTTGGCCGCGTAAAGCAGTGAATGGGTCCGCGGCCTCAGTACCGAGTCTAAACTCTGCAGGGGGCTGAAAGCGCCTCGGACCCGGACCCGCTCCCGCAGCCTCGGGCTCTCGGCGGCTCTGCGCACGGCCTCCTGCCGCTGGGTGCTGTTTGCGGGCAGTGCCCTCTCCCTCCGCCCAGGGGGCTGTTCACACTCCAGGTCTCGCCTGTGATGCCGTTTTCTCTGGAGCCTTCCAGAGATCCTTAGTCCTCGCCCCCTTAAGAAATAACAATTTGCGAAGGCGCCGGCTCCGCTCTTCTCCCACAGGGCGCTGTTTCCTGCAGAAGGTGCCCGCGCCGTGAGGTCTGCTCCTGTCCCCTTGACGTCAGTGAGGTTGACATCAGTGCTGCCGATGGGCCTCTAGGCTTCAAGAAACCGAGGGGTGAGACTTCTGGGTGGCTGGTGACAGTGGGGCGTCTTCGATCCCTTCCCCAGACATTTTCTCCAAAGCAATGGAGAGCAAGATGCGGGAAAGTGGGCGCCGTAAAAACCACGTGCTCACCTCCAATGACACACTGTGCTTAGCCTGGAAGGAGACCTTCGCTGGTGTGAGGGGTCTCTCCTGCACCGCAGGGTCTGGGGTCTGGCCTGAGGTGCGACCTGTCGCTGCGGGGGTTGGGAGGGTGGGGACGCCACCTGTGCTCACGTTCCTGCTGGAGGGAGCACGGGCAGCAGGCAGCCCCCACCCCCGCCCGCTGCAGCCCCCGCATGGGCGCAGCCAGGGGCCCTCGTGGCGCGGGGGCCATCCTGCGAGGGAAGGCGCCGCTCTGTCAGGCGGGGGCTGCTTTGCTCCTTCCTCGGCCTCTTTCCTCGTTCACTCCTTTATTCTCTCCCTCTGTCGTGTCCCCTGCGATTTCCGTGCACAGACTTTATGGCATCTGAGAGGTGGACCTGCAGGAGCGACGCCTGGCACAGTCGGCAGGGTTTTGGGGACTTGCTTTGTCATCCCTGCACCGGCTCATGCCATAAAGCCCCAGGCAGCTCGATGCCCCCAGGCGCTGCCCGCCCCTTGGCCGTGGGGCCGCACCGCAGGCCTCCTGGTGTTTGCACAGAACCTCGGTGCTGCGCTGACATTTAATTTACTGCTTCTCATCTCAGAGCCCTTAAAAATATTAATTAATTCCCATCAAGCCCCAGGAGGCGCGTCCCTGATGTCCGAGTGCTTTCACGCCAGCCCACTCACGTGTCCGATCGGTCGCCGGGCGGAGGGCGAGGCCGCGCCACCGTCGCAGCCCCGCAGGGAAGGCCTCGATGGGGCCACGGTCAGGCACCGCGGGCCCCTCGTCTTACAGGCGTCTCCGGGCGCTGTGGGCCCTGTGCCCTTGTGTGCAGTTTGGAAAACAACGCTCCTACGCAGGACGAGTCTCGGGAGGCAGCACTGGGCACATTGTGGGGGCTGTGTCAGGGGTGCTGGGTCCAGGGGAGCCAGGAGGTAGGGGCACCTCTCCCTCCCATGCCAAGGGGCCCCGCGGTTTGTGGACCCACCTACCAGGAGGTACAGCCTGGCTCCTGGGGGACGGTGTGTGGGCACATTGGGTGCGCGTGTTGGGGTCCCCTGGCGTCCATGGTCGGCGGGGTCCCTGCAGCCCAGGGAGAGCCGGCCACAGCAGAGGGTACGTGGAACCCAGCACTGGGGTGCAGTTCAGGACCTTTCGCCGGTTGTTCCCCATCTTGTTCCCGCTGCCTGGCGGGTTCCCCACGTGCCCTGTGCCTGCGGCCCGTGGCGTGGGGTCCTGCTGGCCCTGCCAGGTGAGCCCTGTGCCCGGTCAGGCGGAGTGGGTACAACATGCGTGGACAGTGCGGCCTCCACCGAGCAGGCCGGTGTGCGGAGCAGAGGCCCCTGGGGAGGGGGGCGGCGGCCTTGGTGCACCCAGCACCCCCACGCTGCCCGTCTCCTGCAGGTGCCTTTGGGGGCCTGTGCTGAAGGTGCCAGCGCCCTGTGCCGGGCGCAGTCAGAAGCAGGAGAAGGGGCGCGGGCGCGGGCAGGGCAGCGAGCGGCAGCGGTGTCCAGGGCGCTTCCTGGGAGCAGGGCCTGGCAGGCAGCACGGCTCTTGGAGGGCCTGTGCTGAGTGTGCCCGGACTTGGGCTCCTTCCCTGCCTGTAGGCGCCGTGCCGTGGCTCGGCCTCCCCACCTTGTGTCCCCCACAGCCACCCCTTGTCTGCTCCCCGCTCAGCCAGAGCCAGAGCAGCGGGGGCGGGGCGCCCAGGACACCTTGGGAGGTGCACTTTTCCTGAAGGGCGTGGGCGTTTATCCTCGCCTCCCTGAAGGCCCAGGTCGGCCTGGCGCGTGGTGGGGCGCACTGTGCGCCTGGCCTGGCCACCGGGAAGCGCGGGTTCTTGGAAATGTCTGAGTCCTGGGGCGCATGGGTCGCGCCGCGCAGCCGAGGCACCTTGGCTGGGGCAGCGGCTCCCTGGGTCCTCTGCTCCGTGGTGGGAGTGGCAGAGGGGTCGCTCTGCCTCCGCGGGAGCTGGCCTGGGCGCGCTTCTGAGGACGCGGCATCTCCGCGGAACGTGCGCTCCCGTCCCCCAGAGCGGCCGTTTCGCTCTGCAGCCGCCCTGGTCCCGTTTTAGGGGACCGGCTGCAGGTGTGCACAGCCCCTGCCTCGCCCGGAGCACAAACGCGCAGCCTCTCGGGGACGTGTCGGGCTGCGCCTCTGCGTCGTTCTCTCGGCTGTTTCAGGGCGCAGGTCCGGACGGCAGAGCAGGGCGAGCCGGGGCCACCCGTGGGGCTCGCGCTGCCTGGACGCCAGGCTTGCCCGGGTGCGCTCATGTCGCCTCTGCCTCGTGTGGGGGTCGCGGCTCAGCTTTCGCCCGCGGGTGGCTGCCGTGGCCTGTCGTCACTCGGCAGCTACAGCCACAAAAGCGGCCGGTGCGGACGGCAAACCACACCCTCAACCCAGGGCCCCGGTCCCTGTGGGGCGCAGGGAGCTGCCGCAAGCACACAGCGGAGAAGGGCTCCAGCTCGGGGGATGGAAGGCGCATCGCTGCCCCGGGGTCCAGGCAGCAGTTTGGCACGAGGGCCAAGCCTGGACTCGGCGCTTCTGGAGCATGCGGTTTAGGTGAGCCAGAGCCGAGCCAGAGCTGACCCAGAGCCGGCTGAGGTGCCACGGCCCAGGGCAGCAGGCCATGTGCTGCCTCCCAACGCGGGCCGTCGGCTCTGGGCCCCCCGAGCGCCCCATGTCCCTCAGGGCATGGGCTCTGGCAGAGCGCCCTCACGGGCCATGCTCAGCCCTCCCCGAAATGAACGTGGTGAAGGCAAACACGAAAACCTCGCGTGATGCGTGCGCTTGCTCCCGTTTCCCCCGGACACTGTTTCCTGGAGGGACAGTGTTCTGGCCCCTCCTGAGCAAGCGCCTGCCACCCAGCGCGGGGCACCCACACCGCCCTCCAGCACCCAGGGTCCTGTTCTCGCAGGCGCAGAGCTTTGGGGAACTGGAGAAAACTTTGTTTTTGAATTTCATCATCCTACAGTTTCCATATTCCTACGTCTCCTGAAGACTTTGGGAGGACAGGTGCAGCGTGTCCCCAGGATTTCCTGTCGTCACTTGCGTTATTAGCGCAGGTTTAAGCAGGTGAGGTCGAGCCGTGTCGGTCGTATGTAGGGAACCAACAGAGCGTGAGCTGGGCCCAAATTCCCGTTGTTCTCCGCACCGTGAGCCTCCCTTTTCCTTCAAAAGGCGGGGCCCCCAAGGCCCGCTCTCCTCTGCTTTTTCGTTGAATGGATGACTTTTCACAACCACCATGTGAAGCCGCCCGTGTCCCACCTTTGTAGACGGAGACACCGGGGCTGCGCCCGGGTCGCGCAGCTCTCGGTGCAAGCCCGGAGCTGGGAGTGCGTCTTCCAGGTGTCCCCATGCATCCTCTGAGGTTTCTCCCTTTTTCTCCTGGAACAGGCCCGGTACAAGCAGAGCCTCGACCCAACTGTGGATGAAGTGAAGAAGCTGTGCACGTCTCTACGCCGCAACGCCAAGGAGGAGCGGGTTCTCTTCCACTACAATGGCCACGGGGTGCCTCGGCCCACAGTGAACGGAGAGATCTGGGTGTTCAACAAGGTGAGCGCGGCCCCGGCCGCGGGCGCTGCACACGGGCCCTGCGCCGGCCTTCCCTGGGTCCGCGCTGCGTGGCGTGGAATGGTTTCCGTGAGCGTGGGACCACACACTGGTCCCGTGGGGCTGCCTCCTGTGGGGCCCCCTGTGGGAGGGCTTGCGGCCGTGAGTCCGGTTTCTGTGGCAGGTAGGCTATTCGGGCGCTCTCTCATTTTGGGTCACTTTTGGTGAGCCGTGTTTTTAAAGACCTTTTCCATCTAATTTGACTCATTAAATGTAGTGGCACAAAACCGTTGCCATTTCTGTGTCGTCCCACGCCCGTGGGACAGGTGGCAATGCGGCCTTCGGCTCCTCGGCGCGGGCTCACCGTTGCCCCGTTTCTCCTGCCCTCTCCGGAGAGACGCGTCCGTTGTACCCACCTTAAAACCACACCGCCATTTTAGCTGCGCGAACGTCCTCCACTGCCTTTTCTCTTTTACTGATTTGTATTCTTTCTGTCTGTTTACTTGGAGTGTAATTGCTTATTGTTTTCCAGCTTTTTAAGGTAGAAATTTAGATTTTAACTCTGAACCTTCCTTCCTTCCTCTCGGGATGTAAGGCCGCGCATCATCCTCAGCGCAGCTCTTGTCCGGAGTTGACCCGTCGTGGGCTCACTGTCGTTCAGTTGAACTATTTTTGTTTTCCCTTGTGATACCCTCTGTGGCACATCTGTTATTTAACTTCCAAGTATCTGAGGCCTTTCCAGCTACCCCATAATTCAAAGTCAGCGAGCGGCGAGGACCTGCGGTCTGGTCTCAGTCCTGCAACCTGCGGCGGCGGCGCCCGAGGACGAGTTCCCTGCGGTGGCCAGGCGTGAGCACGCACTGGTTCAGCCGGAGCCGTGGGCGGTGGCATTCCAGGCTTTATCTTGGTGCTGGTTTTTTAAATGAGGAAAAATGCAGTCGCTGTGTCTGGAGCACTCTCTGGGGACGGCCTTGCCTGTCAGCGCGGGCCTGTCAAGGACCGACGAGGGTGCTGCTCACCCCTGCGGCCTGGCCGACGGTCCGCGCGCGCGCACTCGGCGGTCGGTGTTGTCACAGCCTGTCCGTGCGTCATGTGAGCGCCCTTCGTCTCTGGAACGCTCCTTGTCTTGGAGCCCGGCCACCCCGGCCTCTCGCCGCGGGCCTTTGCGTGGTGCGCCTTGTTGCGGTGGGCTTCCGGGAGGCTGTGCGCGGGAAGCGCGTCTCCTGCGGGGGGTACAGGGCGCACCCCGCCCCCGTCCGGTCTGACGCAGACTCCGGGGAGGCCGAAGTGAAGCTAGGACACAGGGCATGCTCGGGAGGCCTCTCGTGCCCCATCCAAAGTGTCGGGGCCCCTTAGCAGAGAGGAGACACAACTCATAGACCCGGAGAAGACGTTTGCAAAACACAGCCTGGTAAAGGGATCGTACCCAAAATAAAAAGAACTCCTAGGCACAGGTCACATCATTCTTGCTTTTCTTTAAAGCCACGAAAGGCCACGCAGGGAGCATCCTTCTCAGGGACCTGAGGAGGCGGGCAGTGGCCCCGAGGCCCTCCCTGTCCCTGAGCATCTGTTTCCACCGGCCATGGCGTCACCTCTGACAGCGTGATGAACTGCAGCAAACGCATGATGCAGAGACAGACAGTGAACACAAGCTCCAGGCGAGCGAGCATGGGCTGCCAGCGCAGTGACGCGCCAGCTCAGCACCGCGGGCTGGCCCAGCTCTCACTTCAGACATTGGAGGACTTTGTGCCGACATCTCAACAGCTGGACACCCCTGTCCTCACCGTGAACCCCGTTACTGAGCGGCAGTCGCGGTCACAATGGAGAACTGCTCGGAGAAATTCCTGTCTCAAACGCAATGTGAATTCCAGATTGACCGGCGTTTAGTGAAGCCTGTCCAGCAGGGGAAGCAAGTGCCTTGGGGCCACGTGAGCCAGGACGGCTGCCTCGCAGCACAAAGGGGTGGGGAGGCCGGCTGCAGGGGCTGCGCCGGCAGGCGCAAGCCGGGGCGTGCAGGCCCCTCGCGGCTCAGGGTTGTGTCCGCGGCACCCGGACATGGGGCGAGGGCGGGTGCACCTCTCAGCCCAGCGCCAGCTGCACCCAGAGAGGGCCCAGAGGGCGCAGGCAGGCCAGCCTGGTCGCTGCGTCATCTTCCTCAAGCTGGGTGGTAGATACCGCGGTAAATACATGTGTCCTGTGTGTGAGACGTTTAATAGTGAAAAAGACTACGAAGAGCGAAGTTTTAGAGGAATCTGTAGGTACCTAAAAATAATTTTTGTGTGATGAAAACTTTCTGAGCAGCTTACAAAATCTGTATGGGAATACTGATAAATTTGATTACATAAAAGTTTTAAATTTCTATACTGTGAAAAAAGCATAAATGAAGTCAGATGACAAATGGGGGGAAAGTTTACAATGCACAGAGCAGATTCGGCTGATTTCCTTAGTAAACAAACACCTGTTATAGACCAATTAAAAGCCTTCAGTAAGAACAGCACACAAGAACAATGGACAACGTATATAAACAGTTTAAAGACAAGAAATATAAATGGCCAGTAAGGATAGGAACCGATTGACTCATAAGCAAAGAAACAATGAAATGACATTGTCACGTCTCGGAGGAAATGGATGCCGGCACCGGGCCCGTGGCGGTGACCCCAGGCCAGCCCCCAGCGAGCCGTCTGTGCGACAGCCGCGCCCACGGGGAAGCAGAGATGAGCGGGAAGACTGCTGGGGCAGCGCTGTTGGCAGGGCCGAGCTGGAAGGCGGCGGCGCGTTTGCCCCCGGACCATCCCGGCTCCGGCAGGGCAGGCGTGGGGCAGCAGAGAGTTTCATCCTGCATTTACACTTACCTGTCTGGTTTGGGAAGAGTTAATGAATTTTATAGCAGAGATTTAAAAATATGTTAAAAGAAAGCCTTGCTAAGTGTCTCACCCTAAATGTGAAAGCAGAGACAGCCGAGGGGTCCTGGGAGAGCCGCGCAGGAAGCGCAGGGAAGAGCAGAGCGCCTGCCCCAGCTCCTAAGAACCAGGATGCGAATCAAGCCCAGTCAGGTGGGGGCAGCGATGTGCTCTACCTAGGCTGCCAGTAAACTTCTGGCAGTAAATTCCCTTCTTTCTTAAGTTTGTAAACAAGCAAAGTAAAATTGGTTGCTCACTTTTCCAGTGGAACAGCGCATCCCCCGGCCCACTCCACGCATACCTGTGAGTGCCCCTCGAAATGAGCGCCAGGCCCCCGGGGCTGCTGTTGTGTGGAGGCGCGGAGGCCCAGCTGCCCACCCTGCTCCCGCCACTCAGAGGAGACCACGCGGGGCGCCCCCAGGGTCCCGCCGCCCGGGGTGGGCCTGGGGTGAGCAGAGGTGCAGCCACGGTGGGGGTAGGGGGACGCCCTCCCAGCACACCTGGTCACTGGGTGCTCAGGGGCTGGGGCAGCGGCCGCAGGCGGGAGACCTGTCCCCGTCTGACATGGCCACGCTGGCGCCTGCCCCGCCCCTGTCCAGCCAGGCCATGTCCAGGAGCCTGGAGCACCCGCTGTCTTGTGCGCCGCTCAGTTTACACACACCGCTCGCCTGCGGTGGCGTGTTTTATCCCAGTGAGCTGTAGAATGAGAGGGCGCCCGGCCCACGTCACCGGCGCCTCACCAGGGCCCCAGAACCCTGTGCTCTCAGGCCTCCCTTATCCACCTGCTGGTTCCTACTCACCTGCCAAGGCCTGGCGTCTCCTCCCGCCCCTGGGTACGTCCTCCTACGCCCACCACTGGCCTTCACGTGTGCCAGGCTGTCTCTGTCCTGCGACTGTGACATCACAGAAGAAAATGGGACTGCTCTTCCTTACACTCAAAAGGGCAGGTGGCACCAGGCTAGGACGGGAGTGTCCTCTTGCATCGCGCTTTTGCAGCGTCCGCAGCAGGGCGCTTAGAGCACAGGCCGTGAGCTGCAGCGGCAGCTTCGTGGGACCTGTGGGAAGTGCGCACCATCATCCCCCCGGCAACAGACCTGCGTGCAGGTGAGCCTGGGCCTTTCTGGCGCTCGTTTGAGAACCTGCTCTGCAAACCTGGTTTCCAAACACAGACATCTGGGAAGTCAGTTGAGATGGTCTACGGTGTCATCTCCCGCGGCGTCACGGAAATGTTCTCTGGAACGCGCATGCTCCTCTGAAGAGCCAGTCCGGAGTCCCCAGCACGTCTCTTTGAGCATCGCAGGCAAACGCAGTCCTGAAACTGCCGGGAGAAAGGCCTCGTCGGCAATAGCATCGGCAGCATCCTCTGACCCTGCTGCGTTCTTGGCGGTGGCTGGACACAGCTCGCAAGCACCGCACCCGCCACAGCCGGCGTCCCTGCCCCAGCACCTCTTGCTGCCGCTGGCTGGCCAGGGCACCTGCCGGGGAGGGAGACCTCCTGCCGGCCCCGCCCTCCGCGCCTCGGGAACAGCCCGCGCACGTGGCAGGTGCGCCTGTAGCTGCTGTCCGAGGTCAGGACACCTGTCCCCACGGGGCTGCGGGAGGGCCCAGCAGGGCATCATTGTCACAGGGCTCAGACTTCAGGTCACGGTGGGAGGGGTCAGGCGGAAGGTGACTTGACATCTTCTTACAAGCAGGGCGTTGCTGCCTTCGAGGTGGACGCTGGGCCACAAAGTGCCCCCTCCCACTCCTTGTCCTGGCCCCTGGCTTCTCCTGCAGCAAACGGCGCAGCCAGCCTGATGCTTAATATGTCCTGACAGACAGTGGGTTGTGATGAATAAATTATCTAAAGCCTGTTTCTGTTTCCTCGTTCACAGGGAAGGCATGGCCTTGGCTATGTTTCCCCAGAGAGAAGAGAGGCTCTGAGCAGGACACCCTGTGCTTGGAGTTCGGGGGGGCCCCAACCCGCCACCCGATGGCTCTGCGGGTCAGGCGGCTGCAGTGCTCACGGGGGGCTCTGGCGTCCCCTGCCGGTGGAGGTGACTCAGCCGGGAGGCCGGGGTGTATTCCAGAGCTGGAGAGCGGCGGGCACTCTGGGTGCTCGTCCCCTGCTGCCACCCCTGCAGACTCCCCGGCGCCCAGGCTGCCGCCCGGCAGGTTGGAGACTGTCCTTCCGGCCCGAAGCTCGGCCCCCGCCCCGGCCCTTCCTGCGATGGGGCCTGAGAGCTGGGGCCAGGGGCAGCTCCCCGAGGTCCTGGTCCTCAGGCAGCTGTGCTCCCTGAGGGGCAGGCTGCCAGACCGCAGTGGCCTCGCCAAACCTAACTTGCACAGTGGAGGTTTTACGTGAAACTGTCCCTCTTGCATGGCTGCGGTCCCCACCAGGGGAGCTCCCCCTCAGGTCCCCTTTGGGACAGCCCAGAGACATTCCTGGTGGTCACAGCAGGGCGGGGCGGGGTAGGAAGGGCTCCTGGCAGGTAGCGGTTGAGGAGGTCTGGGGCGGGGGGCTGACAATTGTCATGCAGCCCCAGGCGCCCTCCACCCGGGACGGAGCAGCCGCAGGGCACAGGCCTCTCCGCAGCCCAAACTGCAGGCAGCCGGCCGCACAGAGATGCTCAGCGACCTCCGGTTGCCGCCAAACCCTCTCTCCTCTGAGGGCAGGTGTCCCTGCCCCGGTGAAGGGCTCATCGGCCCTTCCACCCCTCCCGCCGCGTCGGCAGGGGCCGCGGTCGCCGTGGGCGGGGAGGCTCCTGCAGGGCGCAGCCGGGCGGTCTTTCCGTCCTGCTCCGTCCTGCTCTGTCCGAGGGGTGTTAGTGGAAGTAGTTCCCTGTGTGGGGACATGCACGCCGTTCCTTACAGCGCAGTGGACAGACCGAGAAGCGTGGTGAACCCTGGGGCTTTCCATTCTCCTTGTGATAGTTTGTGTACGCTTTTTATTTTTAAAAAGTAAAAGTCATTTATAGACATTTCTACGAGAGAGAGCTGTGCCCCTCTCCCCACACACACCCGTCGGCCTCCCCCACCGGAGTCCCAGCCCCAGCAGCTCGGGTGTGACGCCCGGTCCAGTGCGCACGACCTGCCACCTTCCCCAGCACACACGTTCGCTCCTCGCAAGCGGTGTTGGCGTGCCTGGCACACAGCCAGCCCCCGTATCCCCACGACGCGGGGTCCTGCGGTGGGCGAGGCGCTGCGACATGCACTTCCGAACCGCACCGCGCCACTGACGTCTTTCCTCGTCACCGCTTGTGACCGAGCTGTCTTCCCACAGCAGCACAGGGCTCTCCGCTCGAGACGCATGGCTCCCCCTCTGCTAAGCACCCCCTCCTGTTGGGTACGTTGAGGTCAGGGTGGGCTGTGACAGCCTCTGTGGCCGTCTGGGCCACCGTGGCGTCATCGTGGCCTGGGGCCCAGCTCCACTGTCCCTCTGCTCCTGTCCTCTGCTCGGTCAGAGGCAGCCTATTGTGACATCCCTTCCTGGGGACGAGGAGACGTGGGGCAAGCCTGGGTGGGTGCAGACAGCAGCCAGGAGTGGGCAGTTAGACGGTAGGGTCGCGTCGCTGAGCGACCCGTTCTCTCTCCACTGAGCTAACGTGCAGCTTTATACAGTTCCACGCGGGCCCGTTCTGGGCTTTCCCTTACGTGGATCTGTCTGGCGTCCCTAATTCCATCCCGTAATCACTGAAGGCTCACTGGGTGTTCAATGTCTGGTACCGCGAGTCCTGGATCATTATTCTTCGTTAAAAACCGCTGCCTGCCCTTCCGGGGCACTTCCGCCTGCCCCGGCGCTGAGCCCACGTGTCCCGTCCCTCCTGAGAGGCCCTGCCGGCGCTGTGCTGGGGCCGGCGTCGGCACCGCGGGTTCCCTGGGGAGAAATGACGCCTTTCGAATCCCCCTGAGAGGGCTTGTGCAGACCTCCTGCCTGCGTGATCGTGCACGTGGTGCAGGACAGACCGGCTGCCACCCACGGGCAGCCACGTGGCGCAGCACCTGCGAGAGCGGCCCCTGCACGCTTCGATGGGGTCCCCCGGTGGGGGCCGCAGGCGTGACCCCGCCTGGCACCACTCTGCTGCCCGCCACTCTGGTGACAGACACCCCAGGCCTGCCGGTCTTCGGTCCCGGTCCCTCCTCCCTGTGGCCTTGCAGACGGCCCTGCCAGCAGAACCAGGGGTGAACCTTGCAGGCGGAAGCCCGTCCCCGTCGCCACAAAGGCACAGGGTCACCTCCCGCCAGAGGCTCACCGCCTGCGGGGGGCAGGGGAGCCAGGAGCATGGGCCAAGTGGCCGAGAAGTGTTCTGCCGGGCGAGCGTTTGCTCTGTGTCTCCAGGGAGAGGGTGGCCCTCCCCGCGCCCCGTCACCCCAGAGTGTGCGGAACAGCACGGCATGCCCAGGAAGGTGCTCACGCTGCGCAGCTGTGGTGGTGTTCGTGGTTCGAAGGGTGACAGGGCCCAGTCCGCTGTATCCCTCACGTGGGGCTGTCTGGTTGCCTAGAGGGCACCTGCTGTGCGCATCTCCAGAATGACGGGGACAGTGGGGACATGCCGAGTGAGGGCCTCGTGCATCCTCTTCATAGCGAGGTCTGTCCCCGGGTAAGCGCAGAGCAGTTCCAGCCACGCTGAGCAGGGAAATGGTGCGGAAAGCATGTCCCTTAATCGGCGAGGGAAAGCTGTGCTTTGGGGGCGGGGGCGAATACTGAGGGCCCCGTGGTGGGACAGGGAGGCGGGCCCCACAGAGGTGCCCATGCGAGTGGGGGCCTGGTGACACAGCAGAGCAGCGTGGGGCCGGGCGGCCTGTGACAGCCCCGGCCCTCGCCGCCACAGTCCTCGTAGTCGATGACACTTGGGACCTGTCTGCGGCCAGGCCCACATGCTGTGCCCTCGTTGACACACGGAGCCGCGGCAGCCGGGGGCCTCGGGGGTGAGTCACACACGCCCCGTCCTTTGCAGAACTACACGCAGTACATCCCGCTGTCTATCTACGACCTGCAGACGTGGATGGGCAGCCCGTCGATCTTCGTCTACGACTGCTCCAATGCCGGGCTCGTCGTCAAGTCCTTCCGGCAGTTCGCCCTGCAGAGGGAGCAGGAGCTGGAGGTGAGGCGCCGGCGCCGGCCTCGGTGCGCCCTGCCCTTCCCGAGTTGGGGTTCGCTGGGCACGTGGGGACCTGCAGTGACCGAGAACTGGGGAGTCGCGCGGGACGGTTCTGGGGCTGCTGCTGGCATCTCATTGTACTCAGTGTCATTGTAAATCTGAACATGAATTTGTAACGTTAACAGGGTTGATTTGCGTTCTACTGGCCAGAGATAAACGCAAACATGAACCAGAACCGTTTATTTTGGGGGAAATGGACCTGCATCTCGGCACAGGCTTTGGGGTCGCCAGCATTTTTGTTAGAGCCCCCGTTTTCTTTTGTTTCCAAACAAAAACAAAAATGAGAAACCAAAACAAAACCGCCCACTCAGCTAAATACAGAAAACAAGCCAGCACAGCTGCCGCGGCGGAGTCCATGGAGAGCACCCCAGGGAGACGTGGCACTGACCGCGGAGACGCACCCACCAGGCGCTGTTTATTAGCATTCAGTGTTGAGTCGCACAGTGAATCCTGCGGAGGAGTGGGAGAGGCGGTTTCAGTTAGGAGCCCCCTTCCCGCTGCGGCGAGAGCCGTAGAGTAAACACTCGCAGCCTGAGGTCGAGGGTCGCGGAGCAGGGAGTTCCCAGTTCAGGAGCGAAGGGTCCCCAGGGTGCGTCCCGGGGCCGAGCCTGGCCTCGCCAGCCCCACGCTGCTGCCGGTGTTCACACTTCGCCGGCGCGCACTGCCGGCACGCGGCCCAGTGTCTTGGAGGTCTAAGTTAGGTCCTTGTACGCGTTGCATGCACGTGTCTGAGAAACACAGTGCTCACTCCTGTGGAAAATGGGCCCCAGGGCCAGAAGCCGTGAGCGTTTGCGTTTTCGCCTCCCGTAACAGCGGGGGGCAGATCACGGTTTACCCAGGGAATAGGTTACTAATGGGCACTAAAAGCGCAAAGCACCAAGAGGCAATTTGCCTTTCCTCACATCAAGTGATAAATATTGCAAAGGAATTTTTTACATTTGTAATCTGTAAATAAAAGTGCCAAGGAACCCTACCTGATTTTTATACCAATTTACAAACTTCTGGGTGGGTCAGGAGAGACCAGTGCATCAGCCTCAGTTACCTGGAGCGCGGTCACCACTGCGCCCCCCGGCCCGTGCCCTCCGCCCAGGCGAATGTGTCTGCGTGCTTTGTGCCTGTGACTCTCGACTCTGTGCGAACGTCACGTGTCCTCTCTGTGCTGCCAAGGATTCATCGGCCAAAAATCTGTTCATTTCACTGAGTGCAACAAAAAAGACTTCCATGCATCTTTTTGAGGAAAAATGTTTGAATTGATTAACTAGGTCCTGGTAGAAAAGACATGAAAGTCTTTGTCTGAAGTGGCAAATAGATGTGGCCTGGAAAGTCACGAAAGAGCCCCGAGTTCACCGCCGTCCTTTCTCCAGCCACAGCGGACCAGCCTGCTCGCCCACGGCACCCACCATTGCTGGCTGCTGTCCGCTCGTTATCTTGCATCAACAGCGGAAATTAAAATTGGCTCCCAGCTCATATCTTCATATGCATGTTAGTCATTTTATTATCTGCCATCCTCTGTGGCCTCTTAGGTTTCTTCTTTTAAAGAATTCTTACATTTTAACGCTTTTATTGAGTAGGTAATAACACGAGAACTGAAAGAAGTTGGCAGGTCAATTGTTTGTGCCAGTGTTTAAAAAATAGAGAGGGCAAAAATGATTAAATGCGAAAAAATGGTCACAGCGTGGGCGGGCTCCCTCTCCCGGTGTTCTGTTCCCAGCCTGCTCTCTGGCCGGGCATAACAGCCCAGTCCCTGTCTTCCTAACGTTCTCTGCAGGTCGCTGCCATCAACCCCAGCCACCCGCTGGCCCAGATGCCGCTGCCCCCGTCGATGAAGAACTGCATCCAGCTGGCAGCGTGTGAGGCCACAGAGCTGCTGCCCATGATCCCTGACCTCCCGGCCGACCTGTTCACTTCCTGCCTCACCACCCCCATCAAGATTGCCCTGCGCTGGTGAGTGGCCCCCTTCCCGGGGCTTCCCCGGGGCCCGGATCACGCAGATCCGAGGACTCTGCCCAGGTGTCGAGCGCCGGGTCTCCAGTGTGAGCCGGGACCCCAGGCAGACACGGGGCTGGAGCAGAGACTGCGGGGCTCCGCCGTCCCAGGTCGGCTGCACGTGCTGTCGGCTCGCGTTCAGTGTGTGAGTGTCGTAGAGATGGTTAGAAGACTGGTCGTACGGAAAATGGACTTCCTTTTGAAGAAAGAAAAGGCTGTCGTGAAAAGAGAAGTCATTTAATTCCTTGCTTGAGTTGAAGTATAACCTTTCAATTCATTGTAAGCAGTTAAAAAAATCATGGTTAAAAAATCACGATCTTTTTTTTTTTTTAACGATTGTTCTTTCCGGCAGTTCGGAGTCTGAGAGTGAGGCTGAGGAGCGCGCGGGCTCCAGCACAGCGGGGCCTGCGCGTCGGGCCCTCCGTCCCTGGCAGGTCCCCGGCTTCCTCCCCTGACTCCCGTGTTCTCCCGCACGCCGCCCTGCCCGCCGCGGGGTGCCTGCTCGTCTGGCTCGTGGCTTGCTGCGGGGCCCCCACACGGTGGCCGTCGTCCCTCTGGGAGGTGGCCAGGCCCCCGGGAGGCCTGGGCACGGGGCACTCCCCACCCCGGGTGGCCCAGCAGCCCCTTCCGCACAGCCTGAGAGGAGCCACCGGGGCAGGAGCGGCCTCTGCGACTTTCTCTTTGCCTTGGACTGAGCAGCAGGCTTATTATGGGACGTGTGCAGGAGACTGGAAGTCACTCCAGTTCTTAGTGTGCGTGGGGGCTGCCGTGAAAGAGACGGGGGCTGCAGCGTCCCGGCGCCTGTCGGGGAAGGCGGCGGACAGTGCCTGGGGTCGCACAGAGGTCAGGAAGGCCCTGGCCTGCCTTTCCATGGAGTATTGGCATTTCATGGGGTTTAAATGTGCATGACACAGCACTGCTGTGTGCCTGTCGTCTCGGAACACTGTGCCCAGCCTGCCCTGCGAGAGGCGGCCGCGGACCCCGCCGCACAGGGTGTGGGCCCGGCCCCCCGGGGCAGCTCGCTGGCCTCAGCTCAGACCTTCACCGCAAGACGCGCTTTGTGTTTTTACTCGAAAACTCAGCTGAGAGTCCGTCAGAATCACCTTGGGGAACATAAATGCTTGCTGGTTTTCATCGATGGGGTTGATCATTTTTTCTCTTCAGTTTTCTAAAATACGTCTTTGCCAGAGGACAAACTTCCTGCCTGCCCACTCAACACTCTGTTGTGGACTTTTGCTGCCTCTTTAAAAGAAACAAATGAGTCTGCCTTACTTGTTATGTGTGAGGACGGAGAAGCTGGGGCCTCCGACGTGCAAGCCCTTTACCCTGCAGCGACGTCCCAGGCCGAGTCTCAGGCCTTAGGAGAGCGAGGTTTCATGCGGAACTTACTCACGGGGTTGTCTCCTCGGGAGGCTTTCGCGGTGCGGCCCTCGCAGAGCGGGGCCGCCTGCACAGGCCCCGGCGCCCCCGGCCACTCCCAGAGCGTGTCGGCTTATGTAACTGTCACACGCCCGCCTGGAGGAAGTGCCTGTTCTCCCCGCGCTAGACGATGTGCTCTCGTTGTTCCAGCCTCCTGACGTGCACTCAATTAAGATGAATGCCATGATGCTTTGTAATAGAGCTCCTTTGAAAAAGTGGACGTGCGAACACCTGATTGATGCTACTGAGAAGAGCGCCGACGCAGACGGAGCGGCACGGCGGCCGACCGCCCCCTCCCCGCGCCCGCCGTCCTCAGGGCGCCACCGCGGGGCCCAAGACGGATGGTCCTACAGCGAGTCCCCCGACACGAGGCCGGAGCCTCGGCACAGCTGTGGAACCTTGGGGGTGCCTGAAGCCATCAGGGAGGAGGGGCAGGGGCAGACGGGGGGCGGGAAGGACACGCCAAGGGGGCTTTCTGGTTGTGCACATGACCCGTCCTCCATTGCCAGGGGGGCGGGGGTGGTGTTGAGGAGGAGAGAAAGGGGGTTCCCCGTGGATCAGCAGCAGCACCGCCCAGGGACAGGAGCTCCAGCCGAGGATGGCAACACACCGGGCAGGGTGACGGGCGGCCACTGGGGGGACCAGCAGGTGGCGGTGTGGAGCGCGGGGACAGGCCGGTGAGAGAGGTGGGGCGCCGAGACCCTGGGGGTGGTGAAGGGCCACACAGAAAGCGGGCCGAGGGGCTCCGGCCCAGGGACCAGGGAGGCAGAATTGGGCTTTGGCCCTCTGAGCTGTTTAAGATCTTGATCACGGAAAATACATGCAGGTTTCAGCGTTAGAGATAACCGCCAAAAGAATGAAGATACAATGTATCATTTCCACTCAAGGAGAAAACATTTCTTCTCTCCAAAAGAAGGTAGAGAAAGAAAAGCATGGTAAATAGAAAGTGGAAAACACGGTGACTGAGATGAGTTTTGAAATAAAAGTGATTCTGGAACCACAAATGAGTTGCAGCCACCTCTCCAAGGACAGTGGCGCTCGTGTCGAGTAAAGCCACCGTGACACAGCCACCTCCACCCACAGGACACCCGTCTCAAGATAAGTGTCTGTCTGAGAGGGTGAAAGAGGGCTAGAAACCAAATGAAAGCTGGAGTGACAACTTACTGAGTCAAAGCAGAATCTGAGATGAAAAATATTGACAGGGACACAGGGAAACATTGTATCACCGCAAAATACATACATATATACATATATCTCTCAGATCAAAGAGATGCCAAGTAGATAAATTAGGAATATAGATACTGAGACACCAGGTAGGTAAAAAAGTGGGCAAAACAGAGCAGATTTTAGTAATGGGGTTAACTAGCTACATTGCGTGGCGGGCGTGGGACCACAGGCCCAGCAAGACCCAGAGCACGCGCTGTTTTGGAGCATCTGGGGCCACAGGCAAGAGGGGGCTGTGCTGGGCTGCACAGGGCGCCAGGCCGCGCGCGCTGCCGGTGTAGCCGCTGGCCGGCCTCTGTCTTTGGCGGCCGCACTCTCCTCGGCGCTGGTCCTTGACCTGCGCCTTTGCTTCCTCTTCGGCAGAGTTGTGCAGGGAGCCGAGGTCCACCCATGTCTGTGTTCACAAGGAGGTCACGGGCACCGGTGGAGCCCGGGGCAGCAGTACCAACCTCTTGGGCCAATGCGCCCCATGGAGAAGCTAGAAACGCCTCCCCTGTGCGGCTGGGAAGGAGGCAGAGTGTGCTCTGGCGCGAGGGCAGCCCTGGAGGCCACAGCTGTTGGTCAGACAAGTGAACACCTGGGGCTGGACCAGGATCCGCCCACAGCGCCAGCCGCCTGTTGCACCCACACTGAACACGCCTGAGATGCGCCCCCCCCCGCCGCGCCCGGTTGGCGACAGGCCGGGTCTGTGGACAGCGCCCCGTTCCCTGAGTGGGGCAGATGTGCCTGCAGGCGCCCGCGGTGGGGGCGGCCCTGGCTGGTGTGCGAGCCGAGCCGAGCCGGCGCCGCGGAGCTGGAGTCCGTGTAGCGACACAACGCGGCCTCAGCGTCGCTGCGCTAGTTGCAGGTTTTAATCAGCAAAGTCTGGCACGTGCGGTCTTGTGCCATCAGACCAGAAACAGAGACGCACGGCAACTCCAAGCAGGAGAAAGGAAGCAGCGAAGAGCAGAAATAAACAAAAGGACATGTATCTGGAAAACCCATGACACCAGACAGTAGTTTTTAAAAGTTCAATACAATTCTTTAAACTCTGGCTGGACCGTCAAGACCAAGAGGAAGGCACAAGCCAGTCGCGCGGAGGTGCCGCAGGGCGTCGCCGAGCCCGCGGCCCTGGGAGCCACGCGGCGGCGTGGGGGGGGGGGGTGCCCGGTGGGTGCGGCCGTGGCCGCGCGCCCCAAGGTCCCCCTAGGTCCACAGACCAGCACTGCAGGAGGCTCAGACGCCTGCCATGTCGCGGGGGGGGGGGGGATCGCTGGCGGTCCGCGTCCTGCCAGCTGCCCCAGAGCCTGGCCTCTCCGTGCCGAGGGCGCGGGGGTCAGTCCTCAGGAAGCGGGCGGCGCCCCCCAGCCGAGGCCCCAAGGCCGGCAGAGAACGGGAGGAGATGGATGCGGGACCCTGCGGGCTGCCTCTCTCCTGACGCGCGTCCGCAGGCGCCCCCGCGTGGCGGGAGGAGGGCGTTCCGTGACCGCGGCTCACCTCGGGCCGCACGTGGTCGTGGGCCGGTAGAGCGGCTGTCCGCCGAGCGGAGGGAGACGCTGTGCGGCCCCTCGACAGGTGCCAGGTGCGTAAGGACACCGACAGCGGTCACACGCCGCCGATGAGGGCGCGGCCGTCCTCCGGCTCCTGGAGGCGGCCCGAAAACCCCGCAGCTGACGCGGAGCGCGGACCTGCGGAGGCCGGACGCGTCCCCCGCACGCCGCCGGGCTGCCCCGCCTCACTGCTGCCGTCAGCGCCCCTCGAGTCACGGCCGCCAGACTGCGGCGAGCGAGCGCGCGCGTCCGGGTCCGCAGAGGGCGGAGCCATCGCCCGCAGCGCGAGGGTCGCCGTGAAAACCCGCGAGACGTTGCCAGGCGTCCCCGAGACCAGTAATGCACTGGAGGCACACGCAACGCGACGATCGCCGTGGAAAACCGCGAGACGTCGCTAACGTCGCTGCGCTTGAGCGGGTTCCAAGACACGAAATCAATACACCAGATCATTTGTGTTTCTATAGGATACAATTGGCACGAACAGCTGGAAACTGGCAATTTTACAGCATACTGGAGTTCAGACTCTGAAGTTCTTGGGGGTGAATGATACAAAATATATGCACAAAACGACAGAACGTGGTGGAGAGAAACCAGGCACCTAGGTAAACAAGGAAGTAGACTGGGTGTATGCAATAAATACTCAAATTTTAAAATGTTGATTCTATGTGAGTTGATCTGTACATTCAGAATAATCCCAGTCAAAATCACATCGTTACTGAAATTGACAAGTTGATTTTAAAGTTCATGTAGAAGTGCAGAGGGCCAAAACAATTGTGAAAAAGAGGC